TACTGGCTCCACTTAACAGCAGGTTTGGGTTTCCCGGGCTACTATGGCCCCACTTAACGGGGTTAGGTTCCGGGACTACTGACTCCACTTACACAGCAGGTTAGGTTCGGGGCTCCCCTTTGCTCCATTACACGCGGGTTTTGGGTTTCCCGGGTATATGACCCACTTCACAGCAGGTTGGTTCCGGGGCTACTATACTCCATTTAAACCAGCAGGTTAGGTTCGGGCTACTACGGGCTCCACTTACACGCGGGTTGGTTTCCCGGGTACTATGACCCCCACTTACACAGCAGGTTAGGTTCTGGGTATATGACCCATTACCGCAGGTTTAGGTTCCGGGCTACTACGACTCCACTTACACAGCAGGTTGGTTCCCGGGGCCCTTTACGATCCACTAAAACAGCAGGTTGGGTTTCCCAGGCATACTGATCCACTTACACAGCGGGTTTAGGTTGGGGGTCTACTGACCCCCTTTACACGAGGTTGGGTTTCCCGGGGCTACTCTGACTCCACTTACCAGCAGGTTAGGTCTGGGCTACTGTGCCCCCACTTAACAGCGGTTAATTCGGGCTCTACTCTCCATTACACCGGTTAGTTGGGGGGCTACTATGACCCCCTTTACACAGCAGGTTGGGTTTCCCCGGGTCTACTGGTCCACTTACACAGCAGGTTAGGTTCCCGGGTACTGCTATCCATTACCGCAGGTTGGGTTCGGGCTCGCTGACTCCACTTACACAGAGGTTAGGCCCGGGCTACGCGACTCCATTACAAGGGGTTATTTCCCGGGTCACTGACTCCATTACCAGCAGGTTGGTTCCGGGCTATATGACTCCACTTACACAGCAGGTTAGGTTCTGGGTACTGCGACCCCACTTACACGGGTTTTAAGTTTCTGGGCTACTAGGGGCCCCATTAAAGAGGTTAAGTTCTGGGTATACTGATCCACTTACCAGCGGTTTTGGGTTTCCCCGGGTACTACTGGCCCACTTCAAGCGGGGTATTCCGGGCTATGCTGCTCCACTTAACAGCAGGTTTGGGTTCCGGGCTACGCTGACTCCACTTACCAGGGGGTTAGGTTCCGGGCTACGCTGACTCCACTTCACAGCAGTTGGTTCGGGCTCTATGCCCCACTTAACAGCGGTTAGGTTTCCCGGGCTACTACTGACCCAAATTACACAGCAGGTTGGTTTCGGGCTACTACTGACCCCACTTACACAGAGGTTAGGTTCCCGGGGCTACTACTGACTCCATTACACGCAGGTTGGGTTCCGGGCATTGACTCCATTTAAACCACGGTTAGGTTCAGGACTACTGCTCCATTACACAAGTTGGGTTTCCGGGGCTCTACTGAAAAGCAAAAAATTTGCCGACGGTGAAACATCTTTTTTCCCCTCTTCAAAATGATGTTAAAGCCTATTGACATATTTACAAAATATGTTTGGTGGCAAAAAGGGGTAGGCCTAAAATATTATAGAAAAGTAAAATGCAATTCCGCTGTCTGTTTCCCTCTCAAATACTCAACTTTCCTTGTACGAATCTTATCGGGGCTTGTCTCTGTGATAAAAAGTAAAAGGACAAAAAGTGCAACAAAAGTGACATTTTTGTGCAACTTTTCGCTCTCCGGGAGTTTTAAAGCCATTAAGGGCTGATAAGTCCGGAGGCGAAAAACGTTGCTACTTAAAAATTCAATTATTTGCACTTGTGTTTTTTATTTTACTTTTTGTCGGTAATTCTCCAACTTTATTACGTCCTGTGTGCTTCCCTCTCCCCACATTGTAAAATTTTCCCAAAACTTCGAACTCCCTCTTAACCTGACCCCTCCTTTTTTCTTCCCCCTGTTCCCCTTTCCTTTTCTTTTTTCTTTTTCTGGGTTGTCTTTCTTTGTCTAGTGTTTTTGTTCCTTTATTTTTTTTTCATCACTTCCCCTTTTCCCCCCCTGTGTACTTGTCCCCTTGTGGGCCCCTAGCTCCTTGTGGGACTACTCCCTTTTGGGCACCTAGCTCCCTTGTGGGCCCCCAGCTCCCTTGTGGGCACCCAGCTCCTTGTGGGGACCCAGCTCCCTTGTGGGCACCTAGCTCCCTTGTGGGCACCAGTCCCTTGTGGGGACCTAGCTCCTTGTGGGCCCCCCAGCTCCCTTGTGGGCACCTGCTCCCTTGTGGGACCCACTCCCCTTTGGGGACCTAGCTCCCTTTGGGGGCCCAGCTCCCCTTTTGGGGACCTACCCCTTGTGGGCCCTGCTCCCTTTTGGGCCCAGTCCTTTTTGGGCCCTAGCTCCCCCCTTTTGGGGCCCACTCCCTTGGGGCACCCAGCTCCCTTTTAGGCACCCACTCCCTTTTGGGCACCTAGTCCCCTTTTGGGCACCTAGCTCCCTTTTGGGCACCTAGCTCCCTTGTGGGGACCTAGTCCCTTTTTGGGGACCTAAAACTCCTTGTGGGGCCCTAGTCCCTTGTGGGCACCTGCTCCCTTTTAGGACCTAGCCCCTTGTGGGACTAGCTCCCTTGTGGGGACCTAGCTCCCCTTTTGGGGGATGCTCCTTGTGGCACCAGTCCCTTGTGGGCACCCAGCTCCCTTGTAGGGACCCAGCTCCCCTTTTGGGCACCCGTCCCCTTTTGGGGGACCCCAGCTCCCCGGGGCACCTAGCTCCCTTGTGGGCACCCAGTCCCCTTTTGGGCACCTAGTCCCTTGTGGGCACCCCTCCTTGCAGTGCTCCCTTCTTTGTTTTGAGGTCCGCTTTTATTCCCCACTTTTACTACTACACGTACTACTACTATACCTACTACTACTACACTATACTACAAAATACTGCTACTTACTACTCTACCACTACTACTATACTATACACTACCCCCTGAATCTCTACTTACTACTACTACTATTTTACTACGTATACTTACTACTATACTACTACTACTATACTCTACTACTACCTGTACTACTTACACTATAACACTACTAAAACTACACTCTACTTACTATACTAATTACTACTACTACTACTGCCTTTAAATACTACTACTATACTATACTAATTAATACACTCTATTTACTACTACTAAATTTTTACTCTATAATACTATACTTTTCTGACTATTTACTACTCTACTCTACTACATACTTCTACTACTATACTACTTCTACTACACTATACTAATTACTATACTACTATACTATACTACTATACTACAAAACTACTACTACTACTACTCTACTCTATATACTATGCTAAAAACTACTACTATACCCTACACTACTACATACCTACTGGCTTACTACTACTAATACTACTACCTTTTCTACTACTACCCTCTATACTACTATAACTACTACTACTATTCCATATTTCTACTACTAATCTACTTTCCCCACACTACTACTCATACTACTTCTACTACTACTACACTTTACTCACTATTTCTATACTACTACTCACTTCCCACCCACTACTACTACTACACTATCACACACTACACTACTTTTACTTTACCCTACTACTACACTACTCTATACTACTACTACTACTACTACTACTACCATAACTACTACTACTACTTCCCCTTACTTACTACCACCAAACCACCACCCCTTCCCCCCTTACTACCCCTTCCTCTCTACCTTTGGTTTTTACTTTTAAATTCCCAACACCAAAAATCTCTGCCTTCATTTTCCTTTTTTTTTTATTTTTTGGTAGTTGTGTTTGTAAATGTAAAAACGAAGGGGAAAATGTTTTCTCCTTGATGGCCTTTTGATGGAGTTGTGTTGTAATTAAATTTGGGGGGGGGTCTTAAGAAAAGTTCTCCTTTTGTGGCACCTTGAATTTTGGTTTGTGAAGTTGGGTTTTTTTCCAAAAACCCAAACGGTTGCTGTTCAAAACTTCTAGCTTCCCCAATCCAAAAATTTGGGCTTTGTTTTTTAAAAAAAATTGGCTTCTTTTTATTAAAACCATAAAGGTTTTCCCCGTTTGCCCAAAAAATTTTATTTTCTTTTATTTTTGTTTTTGGGGGCTTTTTAATTTTTTTTTAAAAGGACAAATTTACTCTGTCTGAGGAAAAACCTTAGTTTCCTGTTAGAAAAATTAAATTCTAGGTTTTTCATTTTTAAATTTTCATTGGGGGAAAAAATTTTTTTTTATAAATACCCAAGTTGTTTAAAAAAAAACTTGTTTAAATGTACACGGGGGGCCCCGGGGCTTGGGGGGAAAACTCCTTCACTGAGGGGGGTTCATTCCCACGGGAAAAGGAGGCTTACAATTCTTTTTTATCACAATTAATTAGTTTAAATTGGGGGATTACAAAACTATTAATTTGCCCGGTTGCCCGGGGCTTTTGAAAATTTTCATTGACAGTAGGGCCCGTAATTTAAGAGGGGAAATTGTTTTTATTAAATTTTATTTATTATTTTTTTTATTAATTTTTTAATTTTTCTTAAAATTTTTTAAAACAAAAAAATTTAAAACCGGGTTTTAGAAAAAAAGAGCCCGAGCCGTGGGATTAAACCGGGAAAAAGGACTTTGAAAAAAAAGGGGGTTTAAAAAAATAAATAAAAAAATAAATAAATAAAAATCATAATTGAAAAAACCCCCAAATTTAAGCCCCAAAAGGAAAAAGCCCAAAAGTGAGAGTCTAAAAAACGAAAAAAAATGCCATACCCCACCCGGCGGGGTTTTTTTTTCCAACAATTGCCGGGATAAAACAAAAGTTGCCCCACATAAATTTTAAAAAAGGGAATTGAAAATATTAAAAAAACCCCAAAAGGAAAACCCTAAGTTCCCCTGACAACAAACCCCAAAAACAAACGTGTTTTCCCCGCAATCCCCAGGCAAAAGTTTATACTCAACCACAGGAAAAACTAGACCGAAAAAAACGGAATTTAGTATTACTGAAAACCCACAGAACATTCCCGTTAAGAAATAAAACAGGAAATGCCATATAAAATTTTAAAAAAAAAATTTAATTTAAAACCCAAACAAGGGCACATCACTCCGTCGCTTTTCCACAAAAAAAACAAAACACCACTCACAGCACATTAATGATGGTAAGGGCAATTTAGATAACATTCACAGCATATTTAGGAATGTAAGGATAAATCTTGTGTTCTCAATGTGATGTTTTCATCTAGGTGCGTCTATAGGTTGAGCTCTTGCTCTTGGAACTTCACCTTCTAACATAGATTAACTAGTACATTAATCATCTGTTTGTGAGGTTGTCAGAAATAACTAGTTTGAACTTTTAATCATTTGTGTTTCCTCAATAAATTTGTTCTAGTGTTGAAGAGTATTGCACGGGGAAATAGCACCAGGAAGTACTCTAGCTTAACAGACACATACCAGGGAACACGGGGAAATAGCACCAGGAAGTACTCTAGCTTAACAGACACATACCAGGGAACACGGGGAAATAGCACCAGGAAGTACTGTTAGGTAAGACACATATGCAACAGTTAGGTATCTTTATTTCGAAACGTTTCGCCTACACAGTAGGCTTCTTCAGTCGAGTACAGAAAAGTTGATAGAAGCAGAAGATACTTGAAGACGATGTAATCAGTCCATCACCCTTAAAGTTTTGAGGTGGTCAGTCCCTCAGTCTGGAGAAGAGCATTGTTCCGTTGTCTGAAACAATATGAAGTTGAAGTGACAGAACAGGGCCTTATATAGGGCCAGGAGGTGAGACGTAGGTTACTTTGGGAGGGCAGGTCCCTCTCAAACTCAGCCGTTCTCACTAGTAGAGGTTGTCAAGTTGATAGTCTGTACCAAGATACCCTTGTGTTGCAGTGTCTGACAGAATGAACATTAAAATGGTATAAAATACCGACAGGTTGTTAGGTAAGACACATATGCAACAGTTAGGTATCTTTATTTCGAAACGCTTCGCCTACACAGTAGGCTTCTTCAGTCGAGTACAGAAAAGTTGATAGAAGCAGAAGATACTTGAAGACGATGTAATCAGTCCATCACCTTAAAGTTTTGAGGTGGTCAGTCTCAGTCTGGAGAAGAGCATTGTTCCGTTGTCTAAAAAACAATATGAAGTTGAAGTGACAGAACAGGGCCTTATATAGGGCCAGGAGGTGAGACGTAGGTTGCTTTGGGAGGGCAGGTCCCTCTCAAACTCAGCCGTTCTCACTAGTAGAGGTTGTAAAAGTTGATAGTCTGTACCAAGATACCCTTGTGTTGCAGTGTCTGACAGAATGAACATTAATATGGTATAAAATACCGACAGGTTGTTAGGTAAGACACATATGCAACAGTTAGGTATCTTTATTTCGAAACGCTTCGCCTACACAGTAGGCTTCTTCAGTCGACTGAAGAAGCCTACTGTGTAGGCGAAACGTTTCGAAATAAAGATACCTAACTGTTGCATATGTGTCTTACCTAACAACCTGTCGGTATTTTATACCATTTTAATGTTCACCAGGAAGTACTCTAGCTTAACAGACACATACCAGGGAACACGGGGAAATAGCACCAGGAAGTACTCTAGCTTAACAGACACATACCAGGGAACACGGGGAAATAGCACCAGGAAGTACTCGAGCTTAACAGACACATACCAGGGAAGACGGGGAAATAGCACCAGGAAGTACTCTAGCTTAACAGGCACATACCAGGGAACACGGGAAAATAGCACCAGGTAGTACTCTAGCTTAACAGGCACATACCAGGGAAGACGGGGAAATAGCACCAGGAAGTACTCTAGCTTAACAGACACATACCAGCGAACACGGGAAAATAGCACCAGGAAGTACTCTAGCTTAACAGACACATACCAGGGAACACGGGGAAAAAGCACAAGGAAGTACTCTAGCTTAACAGACACATACCAGGGAACACGGGGAAAAAGCACAAGGAAGTACTCTAGCTTAACAGACACATACCAGGGAACACGGGGAAATAGCACCAGGAAGTACTCTAGCTTAACAGACACATACCAGGGAACACGGGGAAATAGCACCAGGAAGTACTCTAGCTTAACAGACACATACCAGGGAACACGTGAATATAGCACCAGGAAGTACTCTAGCTTAACAGACACATACCAGGGAACACGTGGAAATAGCCCCAGGAAGTACTCTAGCTTAACAGCACATACCAGGGAACACGGGGAAATAGCACCAGGAAGTACTCTAGCTTAACAGACACATACCAGGGAACACGGGAAAATAGCACCAGGGAGTACTCTAGCTTAACAGGCACATTCCAGGGAACACGGGGAAATAGCACCAGGAAGTACTCTAACTTAACAGGCACATACCAGGGAACACGTGGAAATAGCACCAGGAAGTACTCTAGCTTAACAGGCACACACCAGGGAACACGGAGAAATAGTACAAGGAAGTACTCTAGCCTAACAGGTACATACCAGGGAACATGGGAAAATAGTATAAGGAAGTACTCTAGCTTAACAGGCACACACCAGGGAACACAGGGAAATAGTACCAGGTAGTACTCTAGCTTAACAGGCACATACCAGGGAACACGGGGAAATAGTACCAGGAAGTACTCTAGCTTAACAGGCACATACCAGGGAACACAGGGAAATAGTACCAGGTAGTACTCTAGCTTAACAGGCACATACCAGGGAACACGGGGAAATAGTACCAGGAAGTACTCTAGCTTAACAGGCACATACCAGGGAACACGGGGAAATAGTACCAGGAAGTACTCGAGCTTAACAGGCACATACCAGGGAACACGGGGAAATAGTACCAGGAAATACTCTAGCTTAACAGTCACATACCAGGGAACACAGGGAAATAGTACCAGGTAGTACTCTAGCTTAACAGGCACATACCAGGGAACACGGGGAAATAGTACCAGGAAGTACTCTAGCTTAACAGGCACATACCAAGGAATACGAGGAAATAGTACCAGGTAGTACTCTAGCTTAACAGGCACATACCACGGAACACGGGGAAATAGTACCAGGTAGTACTCTAGCTTAACAGGCACATACCAGGGAACACGGGGAAATAGTACCCGGAAGTACTCTAGCTTAACAGGCACATACCAAGGAACACGAGGAAATAGTATGAGGTAGTACTCTAGCTTAACAGTCACATACCAGGGAACATGGGGAAATAGTACCAGGAACTACTCTAGCTTAACAGGCACATACCAGGGTACACGGGGAAATAGTACCAGGAACTACTCTAGCTTAACAGGCACATACCAAGGAACACGAGGAAATAGTACCAGGTAGTACTCTAGCTTAACAGGCACATACCACGGAACACGGGGAAATATTACCAGGAAGTACTCTAGCTTAACAGGCACATACCAAGGAACACGAGGAAATAGTACCAGGTAGTACTCTAGCTTAACAGTCACATACCAGGGAACACGGGGAAATAGTACCAGGTAGTACTCTAGTTTAACAGGCACATACCACGGAACACGGGGAAATAGTACCAGGAAGTACTCTAGCTTAACAGGCACATTCCAAGGAACACGAGGAAATAGTACCAGGTAGTACTCTAGCTTAACAGGCACATACCACGGAACACGGGGAAATAGTACCAGGAAGTACTCTAGCTTAACAGGCACATACCAAGGAATACGAGGAAATAGTACCAGGAAGTACTCTAGCTTAACAGGCACATACCAAGGAATACGAGGAAATAGTACCAGGTAGTACTCTAGCTTAAGATAAGATAAGATTTCGTTCGGATTTTTAACCCCGGAGGGTTAGTCACCCAGGATAACCCAAGAAAGTCAGTGCGTCATCGAGGACTGTCTAACTTATTTCCATTGGGGTCCTTAATCTTGTCCCCCAGGATGCGACCCACACCAGTCGACTAACACCCAGGTACCTATTTGCTGCTAGGTGAACAGGACAACAGGTGTAAGGAAACGTGTCGAATGTTTCCACCCGCCGGGAATCGAACCCGGGCCCTCCGTGTGTGAAGCGGGAGCTTTAGCCACCAGGCCACCGGGCCACAGGCACATACCACGGTACACGGGGAAATAGTACCAGGTAGTACTCTAGCTTAACAGGCACATACCAGGGAACACGGAGAAATAGTACCAGGTAGTACTCTAGCTTAACAGACACATACCAGGGAACACTGGGAAATAGTACCAGGTAGTACTCTAGCTTAACAGGCACATACCAGGGAACACTGGTAAATAGTACCAGGGAACTCCTAAGACTGATAAGTTACATTGAACCAACAGAATCTACTAGAAATAAAAATGAACCAGATTTTATATTGGCAAACAATATGGAACAAGAGACATAACAATCCTGGGATCAATAAACTGTGATGACTGACCTGCAAGTACATATATAAATTAATGCGTGGACAGCCTAAGAGATAGTCAGTCAATAATCCAAGAACTGGCCATGATAAACCGTCAAACATTACATTAGAACCATCCTGAGTAGAACTGAGCCCCACTTATATAGCAGGTTAGGTTCTGGGCACCTTCTGTAAAGCAAAAAATTACTTTGAAGTAAATCATAGGCTTATTTTCACTTTCAAATGCATCTAAAAGCCTTAAAACATGTTTACGTCATTATATATTAAGTGATGAATATAGCTAGACCGAAGGAATATATATACATTACTTACATTACTTGCCTTAAAATATTCTCGTCCTTAGCTCATAGTGAGTGATGACTATATACACTGTAGGGAATCTTAATAAATGAAGATTGGGTATAAATGATAACTGTTATATCAGCGAAATGCTGTGAAACGTAGCACTGTAAAGTAAAGCACTGTAAAGCATAGCACTGTAAAGTGTAGCACTGTAAAGTGTAGCACTGTAAAGCATAGGACTTTAAAGCGTAGCTGTGTAAAGTGTAGCACTGTAAAGCATAGCACTGTAAAGTGTAGCACTGTAAAGTGTAGCACTGTAAAGCATAGCACTGTAAAGCGTAGCTGTGTAAAGTGTAGCACTGTAAAGCATAGGACTGTAAAGCATAGCACTGTAAAGTGTAGCACTGTAAAGTGTAGCTGTGTAAAGTGTAGCACTGTAAAGTGTAGCACTGTAAAGTGTAGCACTGTAAAGTGTAGCTGTGTAAAGTGTAGCACTGTAAAGTGTAGCACTGTAAATTAGGGCTGCCTGTACTCTTAACTCAAAATAATTTATGGAAACAGTTGCAACCTGGAGTTTACTGGATTTGGTTATGGAGTGACCTCTCCATCATCCAGTCCCAGACCATGCCTCCCAGTTGCTGGTTTGATCAACAAAGCTGTTGTTTTCAGTTGCTTATAGTCATAACCTTCACATTATTGGCATATGTTTGAGTCTCCTGTGTTAGGGTAATTTGTGTATTCTTCCAGTCATGGTATTGTGCATATAACTAGGAAAATTTCCTGAACAGTAGGCATTCTTTCCAAGATACTATGTACCCTAAAGGGCCTTATATCACTCTCTAATAGAATTTGAGCTTGGGGATCTACCACACTCAATCACATTAAACCTTTAATAACTTAACATAAAGCAGAGATGAATATCAAAATGGTATACAATACCGACAGGTTGGTAAGTAAGACACATAGGCAACAGTTAGGCAACTTTAATCCGGAATGTTTCGCCTACACGGTAGGCTTTTCCAGTTAGTACAGAAATTAGGCAGGAGCAGTAGAGATGTGAAGACGATGCAATCAGTTCATCACCCTTGAAATCGTAGATTTGAGGTTGTCCATCCCTCAACCTGGAGAAGAGTTCTGTTCCATAGTCTGGAACAATCTGAAGATCAAGTGGCAGTGTGCAGACTTATATATTGTCGGAAGAAGGAGAGGTGCAGAGTAGTAGTAGTGAGAATGTAGCCACTGAGAGGTCACGTCCCTCTCAGATCAAATAATTCTCAATTGAAAAAAGCGGGGGTATGGATGATCACAAACTCCAGCGCCAGACAACACACCCAACTACTCTTCAAGAGCTTAAACTTACTTAATATACAAAACATACAAACTTATTATTATGCCTACTATATATACAGAACATTAAACTCCATTATCAACTCTCAACTCAAACTTCTCCTAGACAGCTTCAACAAAACACAAGCATAACACGAGGCACAGAACACTTTTTGACATCCCTCGTATCCGTCTCACACTATGCAAAAATGTAATGCACATAAAAAGCCCGAAGATCTAGAGGCTGGACAAGACAGGGAAGCAGAAACAGGACAATAAGACAGGGAAGTAGAGGCAGGACAAGACAGGGAAGTAGAGGCTGGAAAAACAGGGAAGTAGAGGCTGGACAAGACAGGGAAGTAGAGGTTGGACAAGACAGGGAAGTGGAGGCTGGACAAGACAGGGAAGTAGAGGCAGGACAAGACAGGGAAGTAGAGGCTGGAAAAACAGGGAAGTAGAGGCTGGACAAGACAGGGAAGTAGAGGCTGGACAAGACAGGGAAGTGGAGGCTGGACAAGACAGGGAAGTAGAGGCAGGACAAGACAGGGAAGTAGAGGCCGGACAAGACAGTTAAGTAGAAGCACGGCAAGACCGGGAAGTAGAGACCGGATAAGGCAGGGAAATAGAGGCTGGACAAAACATATCATAATTGTTGGTGACCTCAACCAACACCTTATACAGAGGGACTTTAATGACCTTCTTGCAGTATTTGACATGAGAAACTTTTTTGATTTCTCTACTCACATCTCTGGCTCCTCCCTTGACCCAGTAGTGAGTGATCTGGCAGAATGCATAGTCATTTGTCAACCCCTCGGCTACGTTGGATCGTCTGACCACAAGGCTGTTTTTACGACACTTAAGATCCCAACAGAACGAGGTGAGGAGTCCACACGCACAACCTGGTTATGGGAAAGAGGTAATTGGCCAGCCCTTTGCTCTGAGCTCGCCACCACCGATTGGAATGCTCTGGATGTTGACAACCAAGTGAAAGCCTTCACTGGACACATCCTTAATCTACAACAAGAACACATTCCTCACCGGCAATATGTGACAAAGCCTACAGATCAGCCTTGGCAGATCAGCCTACAGATCAGCACAGGCAAGCCTGTAGGCATATGGGTGACGTTCAAAAGTGGGCCATTGCTAAAAGGGAGGTGGACACTGAAAGAAAGCTAGCATCAGATAGGGTAGGCTCCAAAACCTGGTAGGTCCCTGGTCAAGGACAGACAAGGTTATCTGCTTGAAACTCATTCGAACTCTAAACCGACAGGATGGGACCACCTCTACTAGTAGTCGAAAGAAGGCGGACCTCTTTGCTGAACACTTTGCTACCAAAATGCAAGTTCCTGATCCAGCAAGGGACCCTCCTTGGCTAGCTGCAAGAACTGTGTCAAAACTGTCAGTGGTGACAGTAAGGCAGGAGGAGGTGCATTTCCTTCTTAAATCACTTGACCAAGAAAAGGCTGTGGGCCCAGACAAGTTGAGCCCAAGATTGTTGAGAAGATTCCTAGTACAGTGTAAATGACCCTCTCTATGGAAAGAGGCAAATGTAATCCCTGTTCACAAAAAGAAGAGCAGAGCAGAAATCAGCAACTACAGACCAGTGTCACTCCTGTCAATCACTGGTAAGATCCTTGAGACAATAATCTCAAGATAAATGACAGAGTTTTTTGACTACCACTCACTACTTTGTTATCGTCAATATGGCGTCAATATGGCTGCTGATCTGTTGTTAAACCTCTCCACTAAGTGGCACCAGTCACTGGATGAATCCAAAGTCAGCTGCGTGGTAGCACTGGACATTGCTGGCGCTTTCGACTGGGTGTGGCATCAGGGCCTCTTAGCAAAACTTCAAGCACTGGGAATTGCAGGCTTTACGTTATGTCTCCTCAGTGATTACCTTTATGGTAGATCTCTAAGTGTAGTTCTCGATGGAACGGAATCAGCAAGACATCCTATTGGGGCAAGTGTTCCACAAGGAAGCGTACTGGGACCATTGTTATGGAATGTCTGCTTCAACGACCTTCTTCATCTCATCCCAGAATCACATGCATATGCAGACGACTGTACACTGACATTCACTTATCCAAGAGATGCCAGCTGCTCTAAGCTACATCAATCACCAGCTAAGAGCTATTTCAGCTTGGGGAAATAGATGGCAAGTAACATTTGCACCTGAGAAAATGCAAATGATGATCGTCTCTAGGCACCATGATGGTAATGCTGGTGCAGTAGTAAGGATGAATGGGAGGGTGTTGGCACCTGGAGAAGAATTTGACATCCTTGGGGTGAAATCTGACTCCAAACTAACCATGAAGAACCATGTTGTAAATCTTGCAAACAAGGCAGCCAGGAAGCTTACAGCACTTCGCCTTATCTCGCATCTGCTTGACAGTAGGGGTTGCAAGATTCTGTACGAGGCACAAGTACGCTCACACCTTGAGTATGCTCCACTTTCTTGGTTTGCCTGCCCCCTCTCTCATCTGTGACTGCTTGACAGAGTAGAGAACAGAGCAAGACGTCTCATCTCTCGCCTGGACCCATCCTGCATAGGTCTGTCATTTCAGCAGAGCCTTCAACATAGGAGGGATGTGGGTGGCCTTACTGTTATGTACAAGGCCAATATTGTCAAAGTACCACACTTGGATCCACTTTGAGGACAGCATGAAACAAGCTTTTATGCCACAAGATGGGCAGAAAGCAGCAACTTCACTCTGGCTGTACCCTTCTCCAGAACATCACTCCATCTGACATCATATATACCTAGGATGAGTCGAGTATGGAACACATTCGTACAGCATAATGATGTCAACGAGATAAAGTCAGTTGATCACATGAAAATGCTGGCCCACAGATGGCTCCAACTTCATCCTGTTCCTTACTTGTATATCTCATAACAATAAAAATGCTTTCAAATGATCTGATGTAGGTAACAGCTCTTAGCTTGCCAATAAAGTTAGGAATCCTTAACCTGTAAATAGCTTGTCAATAAAGCTAAGGATCCTTAACCTTGTCAAACCCTGTGTAAAAAAAAAAAAAAAAGACAGGGAAATAGAGGCTGGACAAGACAGGGTAGTAGAGGCTGGACAAGACAAGGAAGTAGAGGCTGGACAAGACAAGGAAGTAGAGGCTGGACAAGACAAGGAAGTAGAGGTGGACAAGACAAGGAAGTAGAGGCTGGACAAGACAAGGAAGTAGAGGCTGGACAAGACAAGGAAGTAGAGGCTGGACAAGACAAGGAAGTAGAGGCTGGACAAGACAAGGAAGTAGAGGCTGGACAAGACAGAGAAGTCGAGGCTTAACAAGACAGGGAAGTAGAGGCTGGACAAGACAGGGTAGTAAGGGCAGAACAAAGCAGGGAAGTAGAGGCTGGACAAGACAGGGTAGTAGAGGCTGGACAAGACAGAGAAGTCGAGGCTTAACAAGACAGGGAAGTAGAGGCTGGACAAGACAGGGAAGAAGAGGCTGGACAAGACAGGAAAGTAGAAACTGGACAACACAGGGAAGTAGAGGCTGGACAAGACAAGAAGTAGAGGCTGGACAAGACAAGGAAGTAGAGGCTGGACAAGACGGAAGTAAAGGCTGGACAGGACACAAGACCTACATTGTTGATTAAGATTGAGAATGTATCTCTAGTGTATGTATCATGTGTGTGGTAGTTATTATAAAGAGGTTTATTGATCCTTTGAAGTTCCAAAATTGTCTATAAATTCAATATGAATTCTTAATTGATGAGTAATTAAATCGATTTCAACACTATTTCAGTATAAAATATCAATAACATAATTCAACCCTGTTTTAGTATATAATTTAATATTACTCATTTCTACAGGGTAACGACACGCCAGAGGAATGTAATGTGTGTTACAACAATTATGACGAAGAACTACGACGGCCACGCACTCTGCCGTGTGGCCACACATTCTGCACACAGTATATTGAAGATACAATAAATAATGCTCAACTAAACTGTCCCAGTTGCCGTGCTGAGCACAGTGCCACAGCTGCTAATCAGTTCCCAATCTGCTACATTGTGGAGGCCTTCATAAAGAAACTCAAAGATACCCATTTCACACCAATAGGCGAAGTGTCAGCAATACCTGATCAAGGTCACACAAGAGGCTTCAGCAGAAAGTTACTGTCTGTGGTACGGGAACAGATGAGTAGTGTCAATAACCATATAAGTAAGTATGAAGAAGTACTGTCTCAGCTGGGCAAGTACCAGCAGCAGGTGAGGGACTGGAAGACCCAGCACCATCAACTGCAGGACAGACTCTATGATCTGATGGAGCAGAACATGGCAGCAATAGAGCTCCTGGAACAGGAAGATACCAGTGTGGTAAATATGACAACAGAAGGAGAGGAAGGAAAGAAGCAGCTGGAAACCATACTGGAGTGTCTCACCATAGTCAACAGTGCGCAGGAGGTTGTCCCAACCATTGTTGAAGCTGATCAGTACAACGTGGAGGCTGAAGACTGGATCCAGAAGTGTCAGGCACTCTTCCCAGATGTCAACACTGTCTACACATCAGTGAAGGTACGCTGCTGGAGGTCACTACTCTCACTGAACTGAAAGCAACAATTATCTTTCATAAATACTAGATATTTAAACACTTCACCTGTAATACTTTTATGCTTTTCTTTTTAAATGTTTACTTTTTTGATTGTACAGTAGTTATACTTTCCAGTTGCTTGTGTTGTAAGCATTAATTAATCTGATTTTATTTGTTTCATTTTTTTTTATTAACACATCGACCGTTTCCCACCAAGTACTTCCCACCTCAAGGACTCAAGATCCACTAACCAGCTTCCTTGAATCTCTTCATAAATGTTACTTTGCTCACACTTCAAAGGCACATAAAGTGATTAAAACATTTATCTCCACTTGCTCCTATCTATCATGCTCACACATGCTGAAAGTCTAAGTCCCTTGCACACAAAACCTTTACCCCCCACCCTCCAAACCTTCCTGGGCTGATCCCTGCCCTGCCTTCCTTCCACTGCAGATTTATATGTTCTCCAAGTCATTCCATTTCATTACTTCACTAATATCTGAATGCATTCGCTTTCTCCGTACTTCCTCACTAAAAAATAATGTTGAGTCTTTCATTAACTAAATTTTTTTTTTATCCTCAACACCTTGCTCTTTCCTATGTTCACTTATAATTTCCTTTTACAAACCCTACTAATCTATGTTTACAGAGGGGAAACAGACATTCTTTCAGCACAACACACCAGCCGTATCCCACCGAGGCAGGGTGGCCCAAAAGGAAAAACGAAAGTTTCTCCTTTTACATTTAGTAATATATACAGGAGAAGATGTTACTAGCCCATTGCTCCCGGGATTTTAGTCGCCTCTTACGACACGCATGGCTTACGGAAGAAGAATTCTGTTCCACTTCCCCATGGAGGTAAGAGGAAATAAACAAGAACAAGAAAGAAAATAGAAGAAAACCCAGATGGGTGTGTATATATGTTTGTACATGTATGTGTAGTGTGACCTAAGTGTAAGTAGAAGTAGCAAAACATACCTGAAATCTTGCATGTTTATGAGACAGAAAAAAGGACACTAGCAATCCTACCATCATGTAAAACAATTACAGGCTTTCATTTTACACTCACTTAGCAGGACGGTAGTACCTCCCTGGGTGGTTGCTGTCTACCAACCTACTACCTAGAAACAGACATATCAGATCATTTTTTAGTTATAGATACAGCAAATATGTGAGAGATGAACATTTATAATCTAAAAGAGGATGCACTTAGGGAAAGATATATGCAGCAGTTGACAGAAAGATAGACTAGGGAGAGTGTAGGCAATGAGAATGAAGGAGTCTGGCTTAGATTTAAGAATGTAGTGTTAAGTGTTCACCAGAAGTCTGTGGAAATAGGACCTTGGCTGCAGGAGGGAAGAGGAGTGACTGGTGGAATTAAGAGGTAAAGAGTAGTATTAGGGATAAAGCTAGCATATGAGAGGTCTTTACAAATTAGAAGCAATATAAGTAGAAAAGAGTATATGGAGAGAAAAAGAGAGGTTTAGGTAGTGGTGAAGGAATGCATAAGGAGAGCAAATAAGAGACTGGGTGACATGCTATCAACAGATTTTGCTGAGAATATGACAAAAAATATTTTGCGAAAATCGCGTTAGTTTGGGTGGTTTTCATAGTAAACTGTGTTCTAGTGCAGTTATCCTCTTCAAATCACCGTTTTCTATCACTGAAGACCAAAGAACATCACATGGAGACGAGGAGTAACCATTTTATATCGAAATATTGCTGGTAGATTTTGGCCATATTATGGCTTATTTTCTTCAGTCTAAAGCACATAACATGTTTTTATGTTATTTATAGTGTTTAGTGTATCATATTAGATCAATTCTGATAGATAAATAAGCTGTAGAGTTGATATAAGCGTAATAATGAAGTGATTTCTCCTGGCACTATCTGGAGCAGGAATACTGCCAGTGTTCCCAGATGGTTCCTGATTGGCTGGAAGTCTGCAGATAAACTCCGCCTTCTCTTTTATGATGCCAAATAGTCAGTTATTTTTTATTTATTTTTTTTTCCAATTTGAGCACACATACAGAGGTACAAGTAAGTAAGTAAGTAAGTTTATTCAGGTATACACAAATACAGTTACATAGAAGATAAGATAAGATTTCGTTCGGATTTTTAACCCCGGAGGGTTAGCCACCCAGGATAAGCCAAGAAAGTCAGTGCGTCATCGAGGACTGTCTAACTTATTTCCATTGTGGTCCTTAATCTTGTCCCCCAGGATGCGACCCACACCAGTCGACTAACACCCAGGTACCTATTTGCTGCTAGGTGAACAGGACAACAGGTGTAAGGAAACGTGTCAAATGTTTCCACCCGCCGGGAATCGAACCCGGGCCCTCCGTGTGTGAAGCGGGAGCTTTAGCCACCAGACCATGTGTGTAGAGAACCTAGGATAACCCAAAAAAGTCAGACAGAGTGACTTATTTCCATTGGGAAATAAGATAAGAGCAGCATGCCAAAGCCACTTATATGCATAGCATTACGGGCTGGCTTAAAATTAACTTAAGATTAACTAAGCAATGATGAAATCAGTGATAAAACATTATTGTAAACAGATAACTATAAAGCACAAATGAGTATTACAAAGACAGGTCATATGGTTGCTTGCATTGTTGTACATTCAGTAGAATGGAGTATTCTGTTAGGTAGTGTATTTAAAAAATAATAAAGTTAGATTGGGTTTTAGGTTTAACATTTATGTGATATAATTGTGAGAAACATTTAAGATATACAATTTATAAGGTTCAGTCCTAACCTATATAAGCTGGGAAGATATACTAAGCAACACAAACCCCAACTTATGCCTAGAACAGATTAACTCGGTGGCACTCGATGTATGCACAAGGCTTATTCCTCTAAGAAAAAGGAGGAGTAGATGTAAAATAGAAAGAGACAGGCGCTCCCTTTACAGGCGACGGAAAAGAATAACAGAGCGGCTAAAAGAGGTCAATATATCTGAAATGCGTAGGGAGACACTGGTCAGAGAAATAGCAAGCATCGAACTTAAGCTAAAAGAATCCTTTAGGAGTCAGGAATCGCGGGAAGAACTAAAAGCCATAAATGAAATCGAAAGAAACCCAAAGTATTTCTTCTCCTATGCCAAATCAAAATCGAGAACAACGTCCAGTATTGGGCCCCTACTTAAACAAGATGGGTCCTACACAGATGACAGCAAGGAAATGAGTGAGCTACTCAAGTCCCAATATGACTCAGTTTTTAGCAAGCCGCTAACCAGACTGAGAGTCGAAGATCAAAATGAATTTTTTATGAGAGAGCCACAAAATTTGATTAACACAAGCCTATCCGATGTTATCCTGACGCAAATGACTTCGAACAGGCGATAAATGACATGCCCATGCACTCTGCCCCAGGGCCAGACTCATGGAACTCTGTGTTCATCAAGAACTGCAAGAAGCCCCTATCACGAGCCTTTTCCATCCTATGGAGAGGGAGCATGGACACGGGGGTCGTCCCTCAGTTACTAAAAACAACAGATATAGCCCCACTCCACAAAGGGGGCAGTAAAGCAACAGCAAAGAACTACAGACCAATAGCACTAACATCCCATATCATAAAAATCTTTGAAAGGGTCCTAAGAAGCAAGATCACCACCCATCTAGAAACCCATCAGTTACACAACCCAGGGCAACATGGGTTTAGAACAGGTCGCTCCTGTCTGTCTCAACTATTGGATCACTACGACAAGGTCCTAAATGCACTAGAAGACAAAAAGAATGCAGATGTAATATATACCGACTTTGCAAAAGCCTTCGACAAGTGTGACCATGGTGTAATAGCGCACAAAATGCGTGGTAAAGGAATAACAGGAAAAGTCGGTCGATGGATCTATAATTTCCTCACTAACAGAACACAGAGAGTAGTCGTCAACAGAGTAAAGTCCAAGGCAGCTACGGTGAAAAGCTCTGTTCCACAAGGCACAGTACTAGCTCCCATCTTGTTCCTCATCCTCATATCCGACATAGACAAGGATGTCAGTCACAGCACCGTGTCTTCCTTTGCAGATGACACCCGAATCTGCATGACAGTGTCTTCCATTGCAGACACTGCAAGGCTCCAGGCGGACATCAACCAAATCTTTCAGTGGGCTGCAGAAAACAATATGAAGTTCAACGATGAGAAATTTCAATTACTCAGATATGGTAAACATGAGAAAATTAAATCTTCATCAGAGTACAAAACAAATTCTGGCCACAAAATAGAGCGAAACACCAACGTCAAAGACCTGGGAGTGATTATGTCGGAGGATCTCACCTTCAAGGACAATAACATTGTATCAATCGCAGCTGCTAGAAAAATGACAGGATGGATAATGAGAACCTTCAAAACTAGGGAGGCCAAGCCCATGATGACACTCTTCAGGTCACTTGTTCTATCTAGGCTGGAATATTGCTGCACTCTAACAGCACCTTTCAAGGCAGGTGAAATTGCCGACCTAGAAAATGTACAGAGAACTTTCACGGCGCGCATAACGGAGATAAAACACCTCAATTACTGGGAGCGCTTGAGGTTTCTAAACCTGTATTCCCTGGAACGCAGGAGGGAGAGATACATGATTATATGCACCTGGAAAATCCTAGAGGGACTAGTACCGAACTTGCACACGAAAATCACTCACTACGAAAGCAGAAGACTTGGCAGACGATGCACCATCCCCCCAATGAAAAGCAGGGGTGTCACTAGCACGTTAAGAGACCATACAATAAGTGTCAGGGGCCCGAGACTGTTCAACTGCCTCCCAGCACACATAAGGGGGATTACCAACAGACCCCTGGCAGTCTTCAAGCTGGCACTGGACAAGCACCTAAAGTCAGTTCCTGATCAGCCGGGCTGCGGCTCGTACGTTGGTTTGCGTGCAGCCAGCAGCAACAGCCTGGTTGATCAGGCGCTGATCCACCAGGAGGCCTGGTCACAGACCGGGCCGCGGGGGCGTTGACCCCCGAAACTCTCTCCAGGTAAACTCCAGGTCCAGTTATTCAGTATTTATTTGGTTTTGGGT